CAGGGGCGGGGCCAGGTGAAGGGGTGGGTGGAGGAGGGGCGGGGCCACGGCCCAGGGGTGGAGCCACACGGAGGGTTGTGGGTGAGGGAGGGGCGGGGAAACTGTGTGTCTCGGGGGCGTGGTCACCGGAATGGGCGTGGTCACCGCTTCTGCTGTCCCTCCCATCCCAGGCCCTGGAGCACCTTCCCCAGGCTGCTCCTCTCTCAGACCCTGCCCTCCCCCCACTCCCTGCTGCTGCTGCTGCTGCTGCTGCGGCTGCTGCTGCTGCTGCTGCTGCGGAGACCTTGGCTCCTCCAGGGCCACAGGGGTCTCCGAAGCGGCCTCTTCCTCCTCTGGAAATGCCTCGACCAATGTCAGAACTGAGATTTTTCTCAATATTTTCTTTCTTTCCTTCTTCTTTTCCTTCCTCCTTTCCTTTCCCTTCTTTCATTCCTTCGTGGCTTCCTTCTTTCCTTTATTACCATGTTTCTCCTCCTTATCTGCTTTTCTCCTTTCCTTCCTTCCTTTTTCCTTTCCTTTCTTGTTGTCTGTGTGTGTGCACATACACAGACCCTGTCACCTCACTGGAATTTTCCACTCAAGGACGGTAACTCTACCACTTGAGCCACAGCTTCACTTCTGGCTTTTTTGCCCCCTATTTGGAAATAACAGTCTCTCAAGTCTGTCAGACATTCCTGCCCTGGCTGGCTTCAAACCTTGATCCTCACATGGCATTCTCCAGAGTATATTGTGTTGTTTATGTCCCCTTAAAATTAGACTTCATGAGCCCAACACCGGTGGCTCCTATCTCTCATCCTAGCTACTCAGGAGGCTGAGATCTGAAGATCATGGTTCAAAGCCATCCTGAGCAGGAAAGTCTGTGAGAGTGTTATCTCCAATTAATGACCAAAATCTCAGAAGTGGCTCTGTGGTTGAAGTGGTAGAGTGCTAGCCTTGAGCTGGAGAGCCAAGGGACAGCGCCCAGGCCCAGAGTTCTCACCCCTCCAAAAAAAAAAAAATAGACCTCTTGTCCTTGGTGTCAATAATAGTAAATATGATTATTATAACTTCTTAGCTGGTGGTGATGTATGTTTGATCTTCAAAATCAAAATACTTTAAGCTGCAAGCTTGCTACACGGGGGAGTGGTGTCCTTGGTCTCTTCCAGAAGGGGGTGGCTGCTGCTTGACAGAAGGAACTCACTCCTGCATGGTTTCATTCAGACAGAACACCATGTGTTCAGTGCTCTGCTTTCCTCCTAACACATGTGGCCCACTCTGTGTCCCTAGACCATCTTCTAAAATGAAGGCAAGTAGTTCAAGAAAAACAAATGCTCTGGTGGCTAATGCCTGTGACTCTAGCTACTCAGGAGGCTGAGATCAGAGGATTGAACTTCTACACTAGCTCTGGCAGAAAAGTCCATGACACTCTTAGCTCCAAAAAACTATTAAAAAGCCAGAAGTGAGGCAGTGGCTAAAATAGTAGGACAGGAGACTTGAGGAGGGAAAAAACAAATGAACAAACCATGTAGGTTCATTGTCCAGGGCTGGAATTCAAGCCCTCCAAGAAGAACAAAAATAGAAAATCCAGAAAGAGAAACAGATCAGAGCAAGGCAATGGCCCAAGGCCACAGTGCTGTCTGACACTGAAATTTGTGCTAGAAGCAGCACACTGGTCACCATGCAGGGAAATTAAAAGCAGCCAGCGGAGATCAAGCCCTGCTCGTCTAAGGGGCGCTGGTCCTGCACTGACAACCTCACCCAAAATGTTTCCCAGTTCCACAATCGCCAGGAAACAACCCACACGGTCAACCAAAGCAAAACACAGGTTTCCCTGCACCTCTGCAATCACTTGATCCAGACTCCATCAGCAATTACAGGTGGATATAACACTTACGGGGTGATAAAACAATCATCAGGTGATATAACAAGACCCCCTGGCTGGTCCATGCACCGCGCTGGGCCCAGGATCCATGTGCCACAGGGGAAGGGAAGCTGCTTAGCACAGGAGCCCTTGGACCTTCCAGCTGCTCTGCCCACACTCACATGGCTACAACACACCTGGGCTGAGTCCTCCCTGAGCCTTCTGGGCCTCCATCCTCAGCACCTGCCCCCACACCAGGCCTCCCGCCTGAAACATGGAGGGAAGGCCTGCTCCTCCAGCTGCACAGGGCTTCTGGAAGAAACACAACAACTCTACTCCTCTAGACCACAGCCTCTACCAGTGTGGCGCTCAGATGTGAGTCCATAGACTCAGCCTACCCGGGCAGCAGGCTGTAGCTCACAGCTATGGGTCAGAGCTGCTGTTCAGCGGCGTCATGGCCCTGAGCGCTTGGCCTGGAGCTCAGCCGTGGATGGCAGCTGTGTCCATCCCAGGCTCCCGCGCAGCCCTGCCTGGCACACGCTGCCCACTGGACACGCGCCCAGAAAAGGGCTTCTCCATTCAAGGTCTCAGATAACAGCGGGCGCCATGGTATATAGCAGGAGCCCGGCAGGTAACACGCAGCTGTGTGGTGGCGACACCATGCTGGGCCTCTGGCTCCTGGGCTGCTGGGCTGTCTTGGGCTCTGCCTTCGCTGGGCAGGAAGGTTGGTTCCCTCACCCTGGTCTGCGCTCCGTGTAGCTGGGCACCTTGCTGTGAGCATGAGTGAGTCCCTGTCCTCTTCCCCCTCACTGGCCTCATGGCTGCAGGGGGTGTTGGGAGAAAGACACAGGTCCCAGCTCCCCCTGCTCCCCAGACCCCCTGAGACCCTGGCAGCCGGACCCTCTGCATCGCTGCGCAGCCGGTCTGTGTCTCTGTGGAGGAGGCGGTGATGCGGCCGTGCGGGGCACAGGGACAGACTGAAGGGGCAGTGGCGGCTCGGCCCCCTCAGCCCTGCCTGCCCAAGCCTGACGGTTTTTTTTTTTTTTTTTTTCTGTTGTTGGTCCTGGAACTCCGGCATGGGCACTGTGTGTAAGCTTTTTTGCTCAAGGTTAACACTCCACCACATGAGCAACTACTCCACTTCTGGAGTTTTTAGTTTTTGGTGGTTAATTGGAGATTAAAGTCTCAAGGACTGTCTCCTCAGGCTGGCTTTGAACCATGGTCCTCAGAGCTCTGCTTCCTGAGTAGCTAGGACTAGAAAAAGCCACTAGAAAATTGTCCTTTCTTGGGGCTTGAAGCCTGGGCCTAGGTGCTGTCCCTGAGCTCTTCAAGAAAAGTGCTCTACCACTTAAGACACAGCACCACTTCCTGTTTTCTGGTGGTTTATTGGAGATAAGAGTCTCATTGACTTTCCTGCCCAAGCTGGCTTCAAACCCCGATCCTCAGATCTCAGCCTCCCGAGGAGCTAGGATTACAGGCGTGAGCCACTGGTGCCCGGTGAAGCTTGTCCTTTTAAAACTCTATTTATTCAGTGCTTCCTCTGTCCCAGGAATGGAGCAAGCACTTGGTCGATCATTCGTCGCAGCCCTCACAGTGGCGCCCCCAGGGTGCTGATGGGGAAACTGAGATTCTGAGCTGTGTGATTAAGCTAGGCAGCCTTGGGACCCTGCTGACCGCCGCACCTCCTCCTGTTGGGTTTTCGTTGGAAGGAGAGCTGAGTGGGGCGCAAGGATCTGAGCCTCCCACCGGGGGCCTGCGCCCACCACGCTGAGCTGTGGGATTCTGGTTTGTGGGGGAGGGGAGAGTCAGGCTGGCTTTTCAGAGAGGGAAAGGGAGGAGCCAGCTGAGGTCCCCCAAGGGTGAGAGGAGACAAGAGGTGGGAGGTGAGATGTGGCGGGGTCTCAGTGCCCACTTTTGACTGTCACCTCCTGGCTCCCCCAGGCTGCGGGATCCCCGCCATCCCTCCTGAGGTCAGTGGGCTGTCCAGGGTGGTCGGTGGGGAGGACGCTGTCCCTGGCTCCTGGCCCTGGATGGTGTACATTCAGGTGAGAGTGGATTCTGGGCACAGGGGGCAGCGTGGGGTGCTGTCCCGGTGGGAATTGTGATGGTCCCCTTTTACTTCTCCAGTACAAAGATGGCATCTACTTCTGCGGTGGCGCCCTGATCAGTGAGGAATGGGTGGTCACTGCTGCCCACTGTATGGTCACGTGAGTCCTGGGCAGCCTGGGGCTTCACAGGGTTGAAGGGAGAAGGCCGCTCTCCCGTCTCACCCCTACCTGTCTCCATGTGTAGGACAGCTGACAAGGTGGTGGCAGGGGAGTTTAATCTGGATTCTGATGAGGAGGATGTCCAGGTCTTGGACATTGCAAAGGTA